AAAAAATTCAGTGAACTAGTGTCTTTGTCCTTGACAAAAGGATGTTGGAAATTCTTAGCAGACCTGGGGCCCCCTCTTCCAACGGTAAAACATCGTTTTGTTCTCCCAGCTGTGACTTATCAAAGTTTTACTCAAGTGCGGTTTCAGGATTCTTCAGATAGGTCTTGTTACATATCTGTAGACTGCTAAAGACCTTTCTCTGTGCCCCTGTGAGAATGCTAATTTTATAGGTTATGAAGTCCCAGTAGTTTCAAAGCACTTCCACTGAAGTTGATGTTTTTAAGACTTCAAGAAGAGCAGCTGACTCTTCTGTACAAAGCAAGTAAAAACCTCTGGTGACTTTACAAAAGCAATAATTTATCCCCCGTTAAAGACACATTGTCCAGTAAGTGTTTCTTGTGCCTGAGTTCTTTATCTTTTCCTAGAGTACTGGTAGCAGTAAAAGGACATTCATCTAGTGGAAGAAAAAGCAGGGCAATTTAAGCAGAAAAAACTTATAAAAATAACCCTGACTGCAATTTATATAACTCCACACAGCTCCAGTGATGAATTTCATAGTTTCCATTATATCAGTATGAGAATGACAGAGCAGAAAATAGTCCTGACTTGGGCTGTACCTTGGTGTCATTAGCTAAACAGTGCTGGGTCCCTGCGGCGCAGGTTGCGAGCGGCTTGCTCTCCATTCATAGTGATCTGGAGTGATCACAGAACAAAACAAAGCCGATCTGCTGTTCCTAGCTTTTGTCTTCAACTGCTTTTCCCCCCAAGAAAAAAAAATCAGGATTATTTATTTTCTCTGGCAGTGAGTTTTTCATTGAATCAGAGCAGCTTGAGTTGAAATCATGAAGTGTTTTATCAGTGTTACCAATTTCATAGACTTGAAAAGGGGAATAGGCAAGGGAAATAGAGGAAAATGCTTCTGTTTTATAAGCTAGTTTCATTTTTGCAACACTGCCTGTTTTAAATAACGAATCAAGTTTAATTATCACAGCAAAACGAGAAGATGACAGCCTAAGACAGGCTGTTAAATTCATATGGATTTCTAGCTGGTGTAGCTACTTGTCGCGCTCTTTTCAAGGAACGGCTCATGGGTTTTGACAGCTTCATTCAAACTGAGGGCGAGCGTGTTGCCTTCCCTCCTCTACCTCCCTTGGAAAAATCCCAGTCTTTGCTGTATAGCTTCTGGTGGTGCTGTGACTAAAATCCATCCCAGCTTGCTTTGATAAATTTCCCCTTTCTTCCTCGTTCATTAGCATTCCCTGAGCATATAACTTGCGCATCTCTTGCATGAGATTCCTGCTTGCCATTTTACACTGTCTTCAGGGTGTATCTGCAGCTTGCCCTTCATCTCCAACATAAGCCTGTTAAAAACAAAAAGCTTGCAGCACCTTCTGCAAGTAAGCAGTCTTGGAGGTGCCTCCAGGTGGGCTTTGCTTGCCCAGCCGTGGCCTTTCCCAGCAGGATGGAGGAAAACAGCTCGCCTTTTGCAGGAGCTCTGGTACCTCTGCAGCAGCTGTTCCTCCTCGGATAGCTTTGCCAGCACCACGCTGGCATCCTGAGCGGGGAGGCTTGGCAAAATAAGCAAGCGCGGTGTGGCTAACCAACCGTGCTAGAGCTTGGCAAGGAACAAGAAGGCTGCCGTTGAGTAGCCAGACACGGCTGTGTTTCCAGTGGCCTGCATAGATCACCATCTGCTTTGGGCTCCATTGAGCGTCTCACTTAGGAGTAATTTGGATGCCCAAGCTCAGGTTTCACTGTTGCCAAATAGCTCATGGGGAGAGACGGGTGCACGCAGAGGAAAGATTCAGAGTCTGAGTTGAGTGAATACCCCGGTGCATGTCTTTTTTTAGGGCCTAGGGCTAGTAATACATGGGTAGTGGGGCAAGGAGCATGGATCTTGGCCCTGGTGAAGCCAACAGCGACTTGGGCAGAGCAAAGATTTGCAGCTGCCTTCGCAGGAAGAGCAAGGAGAGAACCAGAGGCAATGCCCTGAGGTGGAGTGCTCCTGCTGTTGGGTGTGAGCCAGCCCCATGTCTTGTCCTTCCGCGCAGGTGGCTGCATCCTGACACAGACCCCTGGAGGTGAGGTGGGAGTGCTCAGAACAAATCCCCATTTTCCCAATTCTTCAGGTGCTGCTGCAAATGGTCGCCATGTGCTTTTTGGCATGTGAGCAACAGGGCATCTCTTTTCAGCCTAGAGAGTAGTAGAGAGCAGGATGACTGATAATACTGTTTTTACCATGTGTTTTTCTTACTTTACAAACCAGGACCCCCCTCTGCTCCTCGGAGTGCCATCTCAAATGTTAACGAGACTAGTGTCTTTCTGGAATGGATTCCCCCTGCTGATACTGGTGGAAGGAAAGATGTGTCTTATTATATTGCATGCAAGAAGTGCAACTCACACTCAGGTCTGTGTGAGGCATGTGGCGGTCATGTCAGGTACCTCCCCCAGCAAACCGGCCTGAAAAACACCTCTGTCATGATGGTGGATCTGCTTGCTCATACAAACTATACCTTTGAAATTGAGGCAGTGAATGGAGTGTCCGACCAGAACCCCGGAGCCCGGCAGTTTGTGTCTGTAAATGTAACCACAAACCAGGCAGGTAAGTGGATCTTCAGCCTGGGGAAATGTCTGGGGTGGGAGCCCGAGCCAGTCAGACCCGGTGCAGACCTCCCTTTGAAATGGGTGGAAATCCTTAGTGTGGAGGGCTGGACCGTGGCCTCTTCAAATATATGTGTGGGTGGTTGTGTCTCACAGGTTATAATTACTGAAGTCTTCAACATGTTTCCTTCCAGCAGGACACACTTTTAGGATTTGTGGCTTTTTCCTTTTACACTAAGCTACTCGGAGATCCCTCCACTTCTTTGCATTTTGGTGTATCCACCCGCTAAACCAGAAAGTTGCTGCTCCTGTTGGGAAAGGGAAATTTCTAAGGGTTCATTTCAGTCCCAAATGCCAATGGCTAAAACGTCCTAACTTTGCAAACAGTTACCCTAAGAAAATTGTTTTGAGTGAGTTTAGGAAATTTAATCCCTCTTCTGCACTCTGGTGCTGAAGTGACTGGTGACTGGACTCAGGCTCGTGAGATGTGGTACGTTGTCACTGCTTCTCCAACAAGGTAGGGCTGAGATGTCATTGTGTACTGTGTCCTTCTTGGTTTTGCACTGTGCAGGCAGAGAACATGTAGACTGGTTTGTTCCTTTGTCCAGGGCTCAGGTCTGTCTGCCCTTCCTTTGTCCAGCAGTTGAAAAGAGCTGTCACCTTGGACGCAGGCAGGGAGTTGCCATTGTCCCCTGTCATTTGGAGGTGTGATGGGAGGCAAAAACATGATTACATCTCTTTCCACGCACATTAACACACCAGGCACATCACACAGCTTCTGTAAGCCCTGGAGACTTTTCTGTCCTTCTTTTCTTGTTCCTCATACTCTGTGTTTTAGGGTCTCTCCCTTTGCCTACCTGGCTCGCTTCCTGCCATTTACTTCAGGGCTCCCCAGTGGCACTTGGCCGCTGGAGAGCCCTTCCAGGAATGTGAACTGGTGGCATTTGGGACCGTGAGGACTGTGCTGCCAGATCACCAGAGCCACCCCTTCCGTTCTCCTTGCAGACAAGGCTTAGCCAAGAAACCCGGTGTGGTATGCAGCGTAACAGCTAGATGGAGATTGGCAGGTCCTCACAGCTAGATGGAGCGGAGAAGTGCTAGCTGGAGCAGGGCCGCATTTCGTTCCTGCTACCCAGCTGTACCTGCGCGGGCTTGGCAGCCAGCAGCAAGAGAGTGCAATTGCATCACACTTCATCAGATACCTGTCCTGGTAATTAGACTGGATTGTCAAAGTGTTGGACAAATTGTTCGGGTATATCTCAAGGAGAGGAAATAAAGGCTTGCCGGGGTTGCTGCTGATGGATGTGGCAGGAAATCTCATGGAGGAACATCAGTGGATGGCAGTGTGACACCTGTTGAAGGCACCTGCTTAGTGCGGATCAGTGGGTGTCACGGTCCTAGTGCTGTTTACTGTTTTCCCATTGTGAAGGCAGCTGCCAGTAACTCTTGTTGGAAAAAGTACGTTTTCCTGTTAGTGGGTTTGCGTTAGTATTTCATTGCTGGCCTTGTTTTTTCCCTGATGTGTGGAGTTAAATCACGTAAACCTCAGTAAATGGAGCTGCATGAGAGGAGATGATACCCTGCTGATCAGTGCAGACTGTGAGGAAATGGTCCTGGTTTGTGAGTTATGTCCCAAACTCCCCATAGTTGCAGCAGGATTTATCCACGTAGCTGCCTTCCTGTGCATCAGGCCAAGAGCAACCCCCTTGCAGAGTTCTCACCTCCAGCCTTGTATTGAAAGGTCCGTTACAGGAAATGGTAGACCTATGATGAATGTGGCTCATGCTGAGGACAAGTGGGTAAGCGTACCTTCTGGTTCAGTCTTGCTGTCTACCCTGGTCGACCCGCAATCAAGGTAGATGCTAATGGATCAAGCCATGAGTGTTTAATTCACTGTGTGGTGTTGAAATTGCATCTGTATGGTCTTATGCTTGATTCAGCGGGAGGTGAATCAAACCTCTGTCCAAAGCAAGGAGTGGTGACTATATTTTGTTGTGTCTCTGGCTGGTCCCACCACTCTTTCAGGAGGAGAACCAGGCCTGTCTGCTTGAGCTGCAGCATCAAACGTGCTTCCCAGTAATGTGCTCTTTCAGCACTCCCGGGGGTGATCGTTGCTTTGTCCATGCCAGAAATAAAGCAGCCATCGAGGGGGACTTTGCAAATCAGACTAGCTGCCAAGCATGGAAAGTAGATACCTGTTTTCTTAAGGTGCCCCTGAAAAGCATCCTTTGAGGCAAGTAATGGAGGTGTGCAGGTGGAGTGGTCCATGCCTGGCCGTGCCCAAAGATGCTGAGTATCGCTGAAAAAGCTTCACCTTCAGCCATCCTCTCTCAAGTAAGAGCAAGCAGGCACATGGGGCTTCAGGGAGTCTCAGCCCACTCATGTTCCCCCTGAAATTACCACCAAGAGATGCAGCTGTGGGGCCTCATCCTTTCCCTTGCTCAGATTTTCTGATGGTATGATTATATTTTCATGAAGGCTGGTGTAATGAAGTTGAGTCACTAAAGGTAGTGACACAAGGCCAACTGCAGCAGTAGGAGAAATCCTGCTACAAGAACTGCTGGCTGTGGAAAATGAAAAAATTGCATGCTGTGGGATAGGTCTGGCTGCTGGAGTCCTGCTGTCAGGTATTCACTAACCCAGCACTGCAGAGAAATGCCAGCGTCTGTTTTGTTGGTTTGGCTTTTGTCCATCCCAAAAAGACCATGCTAATTTCAGGACTGCAGAGAACACGCAGGCAGTGGGGTGCTGGGCACACCACCTCTTCTGTGCATGGGAGCTTTTGGCAGCAGAAATTACCTCTGGTTTGCGCTCTCGAAAGGATTGCTTCCTGAAAAAAATGTGTTTTTCTCCAAAATAATTTGTCTCCCTTCCTCTCTCCCCAATTTAAAATAATGAGAAAAAGAATTGGCACCGGCAGTCAGTCTGGGATTTTCAGACTGATGTAATTTTCCTCTGAACTTTTGAAATCACATTTGGAAATACAGCAAGGAAACAGTAATGTTTTGGGCACAAGAGGAGGCATATCAGCTAATCTCAGCTAGTGACCCAGCATGCTTCTGCTCTGACGGTACTTGGGATGGGACCAGTCCACGCGGGATGCAGTGGCCCTAGGCTCTGGATACAGGACTACTTCCCCTGTGACCCTCTTTCAATCCCCAAACCTCTGTTGTTTCTGTGGCATTTTGCAGATGTTTTCTGCTGGAAAGCATGTATTTAGAAAGGGTGAGCAATGCCACAAGCCAGGGGAGGTGGAAAGTGCGCTGACCTCCTACAGGACTACCCTAGAGCTGCTGCAGGCACAGAGGACCGTATTCCCTTCGTAGGCACATGGGTTGGCCAAAGCATGGTTCTCCCCTTTGGGATTGCTGCAAAATATGTGCCCAAGGGACTTCCCAGCACAGATGGCAGGGAGCCATCTGTAATGTACTCTCACAGCGCATTAAAAAGTGTGCCTTGTGCACGTGGGCTGCAGCCCAGTGAATAATTCATAAGTGGCAATGATAGGATTGAGTTAGCCATCCTTTTCTTGTTCGTGGTTTTGCTCAAGTTTTCATATTTTTGAAACTGCCACCTAATGCTCCTCTTTAGATGGTTTCCAGAGTATGCATATGCCACTAATATTGAAGTTTGCTTTTCAAGTGACAACTGCATGACTTTTTTTTCCTCAGCGATTTCACCAGGCTGGATGATTAAGAAACGCTGTCGCTCTGAACAGAGATGTGCATCTCCCTTGAGGTCTTTCATCTTATCTGCCCTGTATACAGAAAGCACCTACCATGACGTCTCGGTCAGAGATGTGTATCTCATAATGGGTCTGAAGGGAGCAAGCAGTTGTGATTCATGGTTGCCTGCGTGCCCGTTGTATCATCATAGGAGCACACTGGGAAGATGCAATGTTTAAAACCTTCCCAGGCTTAAAACCTTCCAAGAATATTCACTTTAAGCCAACCTAAACAGCCGAGCAATTTTCTTTGCTTTTTGTTTCCAACATCTCCCATGCTGGGTATGGCTTCAGGCACGGAGCTGACCTGGAGGTGGGGGGTGTGGGAGTGAGGCGGTTATCCTGCTGGCATCCCAAATGCCATGGACTCCCTTACTCTCTGTGTATGTTTCCAGATAAGCTCCTTGCCTGTTTCCTGTTTGAAAAATTGGAAGCTGGTGTCCAATCCCCTTCTGTGACCTGTATGATATTTTTGAGCCTTTTGGGGGAGAAGGGCAAGAAAAATCCAGACGTGCTTGCTAAGAGGAAGAGTTGTCTAATGCCTCGAGGAGTCTGCATGCCCAAGGCCAAACCAGAGATACAAGTTGCATCCTGTGGTGCAGCAACGCCTTTGCTTAAAAGGTGCTGGAGGACAGGACGCTGGCAGCCTGTACTGCTGTCCGGGGGGCATAGCTAGGTTCTTCCTTGACCAAAAAACCCACTAGATGCTTGGAGCAGCTGGAAAGCTCTTGGAGCAGGGAGGTGTGCCGAGAGCCGTGATCCTCACTCTGTGCAGGCTGGAGTGCTGCAGTGGTGGGGATCAAGGGAGACGGGGTTTTCCTTAGCACTCGGGACGTACCAGTCTTTGAAAAGCAGCCAAGGGCGATTCAGAAAGGGGAACTAACAATGTAGAGCTTGTTGCAATCTTATGTCAGCAGCTGCGTGCTCTTGAAACTGATAGACTGCAGCCCTGCACAGTCTGGGAAGAAAACACCAGAAAATAGGCGAGAAGATGGCTGTGCTGGGAAGCATGTTTTCAGAGATTGCCTTTGGGAACGTACCGGTTCAAGTCCTGTAAGGTTCAGGGTCCGATTCTTGCAGCTTTCAAGTCCCACAGGCTTGTTTGGTTTGGCTTGGGGAGGGGGGTTGCTTGTTTTCTGTAGGAATAACAAAAAATTTCCAAGAAGATGCTGCAGTAGATGCAGCATGTTGCATCCATCTCACATGAGAAGCAAAGACTGATTTTGCAGCCATACATTTCAAGCGGAACTGCTGACCTGGGGCCTGCAAAAGCTTAA